AAATGAAAATTAAAAATCTAGATTGATAGATATAGAGTAGTTTATTAATTTTCTTTCATCCTAGTTTTAACCAAACCACACGATACTTGATCAAGTTCTCTATTTGTGTATGTCGGTAGATTATAACGTCTACCGAGTAAACAACACCTAGCAAAAACAATGAAAAATACAAATTTTTAAAAATCAACTTTTATTAACTTGTCGGGATATAGTTTTCTTGGTTGAAGTGTAGCGAGAAGACAAATGAAAAGAAGTCGAACCGCACGTACATTGTAGATATTTAGAGAAACTGGGTTTCGATAAATCTCTTGAGATTATATTATTTTAGTTCGCATGAAAGTAAATGAAAAAGAGATTTGTTGGTCGATCTCATCAGAAGAGGATAAATGAATTTCGTTGTACTGCAGCCGTTGGGCTTTTATACGAAACCCAGCTCTGATGATGTCCATCAGATGATGGACGAAAACTCAGTATGTTTTTACCAGAAACGAGGGAAGAAGTCTTGTGGACTACGTCAAAATGAATATCGTGTAAAAGCCAAACGGCTGCATAAAAACGAAATTTAGCAATCCTCTTCTGATGAGATCGACCAACGAATCTCTTCTTCATTCACTTTCATGCGAACTAAAAGTCCCGCTAATAATATAATCTCAAGAGATTCATCGAAACAAAGTTTCTATAAATATCTACAATGTACTTACGGTTCGACTTCTTGTCATTTGTCTTCTCGCTACACTTCAACCAAGAAAACTATATCCCGACAAGTTAATTAAAGTAGATTTTTAAAAATCTGTATCTCTCATAATGTTGTTTCTAGGTGTAGATTTTTAAAAATTTGTATTGTTCATTATGTTGTTGCTAGGTTTTGTTTACTCGGTAGACGTTATAATCTACCGACATACCAAATAGAGAACTTAATCAAGTATCGTGTGGTTTAGTTAAGACTAGGATGAAAGAAAATTAACCAAGCTACTCTATATCTATCAATCTAGATTTTTAATTTTCATTTAGCTCAATTGAGTCTATATAATAAATAAGATAGAGCCGGATAGTGTTCTTGCTTTAGTGGTAATGTGAGACTTTTACAAGAATGACACTAGCTCTGATGATGGACGAAAGCTCAGCACGTTTTCACCGGAAACGAGGGAGGAAGTCTTGTGGACTGCGTCAAAATGAATATCACATAAAAGCCAAACGGCTGCAGTACGACGAGGTTCATCCGTCCTCATCTGGTCAGATCGACCAAGGAATCTCTTCTTCATTCACTTTCATGCCAACTGAAAGTCCCCCTAATACATTATTAGATATAGATATTGCAAAGAAATAACATGCCATTGTTTTCTGGTAAATCGGTTTATCACACAGTTTAATCGAAATTAACGTCCAGCCAACAGTGAAACATTAAAATAAACCTCACAAACCAGTTCTTTGGCATAAATGCATATTTGTAATCTATCAAATTGCAAGGCATACTCATAAACGTCAGTACTCGATTTAGCTATCCTTAAATTCTGAAGTAATTAGTTTAAATGGTGCTGGAGAAGTACATTTTCTCCATTCGGCTTTTAAGGCGGATCTACTTGGGACATTCGAATGGGTATTAGAAAACCTTTATTCTTAAAAAAAACAGGAGTTCTAAGACAAAAATAGAGAATAACCAATAATAGTCTGCAAAAATGTATGACTACGAGCTGAATTAAAGTAAGAAATGGTCGTTTTATGATAACGAAATCTGCATGAATGAATGAATCATTCTTGGTCTGAAGTAACTGCTTGCAGCAATAATAGGTTAACAAATGAAAAGGGATAATATAAATGCATGACTACCAGATAAAAGATCCATTTCAAGAGCAATTACTTATCAGTTCCAGTAGATACAGCTGGCCAATTAATGCCAACATTTCACTCGTCAAAACCACGACTTAATCTAGCAAGTATTTGCATACATATTTATGCGGAAATAAAAACAATGCACATGTTTCATCAATTAACGGAGTACCATTGTCATCGTCCGCATGGTATTTTACAATGTCTCAGTATGGCATGACATTGTCATCCGGCTTATTGTTAGTTCTGTTTAACGCAAAGTTCATTTGGGCGCAATCTCGAGACACGTCTTTTGTCTTCGGATAAAATATGCATTTTATATGAACATGTTTCACATCAACGCCCCATGATAATCATAGAATAGATCAAGATGAATCTGCCATCGTCTCTTCATGAGGTCAAACTACACAACTTTTTATGATACAAAGAAAAACTGGTTTTTGAAGAAATCCTTAGTGACATATTGTGACATGGCTTTCCATTTCAAAGGAAACCGAAGGAGGATTACCACGTAAGGGAGACTGTCGTGTTGTGCAAACAAGTCCTCGACCCACCGTCCTACGACCACGATGGAACTGTGCTAAGTTTTCGTCTGAACTCTTGACAGATAACATCATATCAGGAAACCATAATTCACAAAATAAAACAAAAATATACTCGACCAAGAGAAAAGGTTTAGTACATTTTTGCTCCAATTCGTAAAGCATGGATTCTTGATATATCAATGTCTATCATGGCGGTACAGGCGAAAGCTTAGCACAGGTCCATCGGAGTCGCAGAACGGTGAGCCGAAGACTTTTTCGCACAATTCAACAGTTTCCGTCAGACCACACCACGAATTCCTTCCAGCCATTTTTTCCTTCGAAATGGAAAGTCATGTCTTTATGATACACTCTCAGGCCAAATAAGACTTAGTTTGATTTCAGTGAAAATTTCCACAAACAACTCACAAAATGAGTTGCGATAACCTGAGCAAAGGACTTACTGAATGAATGAATAAGATGGCCGCCGAGCACACGAACTTGAACAGTGTCCAGGATTACGTTCAACGGGATTATCCATCCCGTTGCTTTGCCAACACCACTATGACATGTTCTGGCAAACTTCCAGTTGGATATCAGAATACGAGGATCGGCCTTTTTTGCGATCGCCACAGCATAGTAGAACGGACCTATGCCATATGTCCTTAGAATAGGAAAAAATGTGTAGGGAGGGAAATAGAAAAGTAGATTGGGGATATGAAAGAGTGTTA